AGCCCTCGTCGAAGCCTATCGGAGCTGCCGAGGCCTCGTCAAAGTCACTCTGTCGAAGCCTCGTCTTCGATCTCATCGAAGCCTTTCGTCTTCGATCTTGTCTTTGACCTCCAAGCTCGTCGTCGATCTCGTCCTCGATCTCGTTGAAGCTATTCGTCTTCGTTCTCATCTCTGAGCTCATCTTCGGAGCCAAAAAATTAGTTGAAGCCCTAGGGAGTCAGCTTTGATCTCTGGAACAAGGTAAAGGACTAAAGGGCCAGACTTCTTAAATATAAGAATAATTTAATAGTACTTAAAGTTTAACTGTTTAAGTTTAAGTTTAAGTTTAAGTTAATATTAAGTTAACAGTAATTTGAGTTAAATATAAGATTAAGTTATAAGTTACATATAAAATTAAGTTAACAGTACTTAAGTTTAACTGTTTAAGTTTAAGTTTAAGTTAATATTAAGTTAACACTAACGGTAATTTGAGTTAAATATGATGTTTCAGATAAAGAGGAGGATTGTATGGAGATGGATTCTGGAGAGGATAGCGATGATGGAGTAGAGGAGGAACTTCATGATGATGATGATTGATGATGAGATTAGATTAGATGCATATTGTTAATTAATTATATTAGAGTCTAAACTATTCTTGTTTAAATGTCTTTTTGCTAATATTTTGGACCTAAACTTCTAGATATGAGATATTATATGCCTTGTTATTTAGTATGTATGCATCTTTGATTTACTATTATAGTTTGGATAACATATGTGTTGGTATTTTTGTATTTATGCATCTTTGATTGAGTATATATATATTTATCTTCAAGTATCACAATTTAAAAAATAAAAAAACGTCCAGAAACCGTTTAGTCGCCCGCCTAAGGGTCTAAGCGCTGGGCACCAAGTCCGGCACCTAGGAGCGCCCAACGTTTAATGTAACATTAATCTTTGGTATGACCATGTGAGTATAGGAGGATATAAGAGATTTTTTTACTAACATCAAAATGCCCCTATGTATCTTCGGTATGACCATGTGAGTGTAAGTAAGATATATAAGTTATATGCGTGTAACTTAGTTTATTATGATTTACATCTATTCTTCGCATAATTAATTCTTATTTACAAATAAGGCCATGAATGTATGTATTTGTAAATTATTATACAAACTATATATTATATGTTCATACTTTGTACAAACTTTAAAATTAAAATAGTTATACGCATGAGGCTTAGGCCTCACGTTTTGAAGCTTACGCTTCGCTTCGTTAAAGGGTCTAATGTTTGCCTTGCACTTCCGTTTTTTTAAACATTAATATTAATGCTTGAGTTTAGCTAGATTGGTCATAATTAAGGACATCCTTTTGATGTATTCTACATACTTGTGGTTAAAGATTAGATAGGTTCATGTTTTAGGACTGGCAAGCATTTGTTTTGTGTTGGATTTATGGATTATCAACTAGAACAGTCACAAAAGTTTCTGCAGCGACATCTGTATGGTTTCTACACTAAGTAAGCAGTGGTGGATCTAGATTTTTGTTTGTGGGGGATGGGGGGTGGGGTGGACAACAAGTATCTATTTATCCAAAAATTAAAATATAATATTATAAAACACAATTCTTGACAAGTAGGCTAAATTTTCAGCTTAAATGGGCTAAAAATCAAATGGGATACAAAAGTTTTTAAATTTAGGTGGGGGTTGGTGGTTGTATAGGGACAAAATGGAAGTTTATAATGCTTTAGAATGTAATTTCCATAATCATAGGGTTGCAACTGCAACCCTGGCTTATATATGGATCTGCCTGTGCAAGGAAGTATTGCACATGAATGGAAAAAGAGCGAGTTTGTTTGTGGAATTTGTCAATTTAATTTTGTATTAATAATCTTGGATGCAATATGCATTTCTACTACAAGCATAGAGTTTGTAAAAGGGGTTTCTATAGATTTATTTCTGCTGCATATGGGCAATAACAAATCAAATAGACATAAATAATTAAGGAAGAGAAAGGATATATAGTGATCGGATTTTGTCCCTCAAAATCTGTGAATGGAGGATGTTTTTTTTAATAATTTTGCTGTCTGAAAAAAATAAGAAACCAAATAAAACACCTGGCTTGCCAGTTGCCACTGTTATTCTGTAGCCATGACTTCTTCCCAGATCTCTTCTAAGTTCTAAGTGCAATAGGCTACAAATTGCTCAAAGTCATAGTGAAAAAATTTAATGACCTCGTCAGTTCCTGTTCCTCAATCATATATTGGAAATTGTGAGACATTTTAGGCAAAAAAAGACTTGCCAAAAATTATAAGATCAAACAACAAGGGCACTTGCTCGCCAAATTGGTAGCGTGATACTTCTGGGTCAATCTTCTAAGATTCTGCTGAAACATGTAGTTTAAAAGAGATGGAGAGAATTTGGTACTTAGTTAGATGTCAGATCACATATTATGTCAATGAACCAAACTAGTGGATATCATGCTTTCTCCACCACTACTTATGGATATGAATAAAATATGAATTTTACTTGTATAAGACCAACGGCTATCTTCAACTAGTCACATGAAGACTAGTACAAACTTGAGTGGTTCTGTACAAGAAAGAAATATTTTAACGGATAAAATTAGCTCTATGCTGTAGTTTAGCCTATGGCACCTTACGTTTTGCTTTGATGGATGGTTGTCTTTCTGCTATAAAACTCTTATTACATAGATATTCACGAACCCTTTTGTTTTTTGCTCTCTTTGCCTTTTTTTTTTTTTTGCCGTTTGGGGTTTCTTTTCTGTGTGGATGTCATTCGAATTATTATTCTGCTTGTTGTTATTTTTATTAAACTATTGTTACTTATTGCTAAGCCATAGTGCAAGACATCTGAAACCAAGTCAACGTTTCAATTTCTGACTAAGAAAGAAACTGCTACCCAAGAACAAATATGGTATTTGTAATATTAATGTTGATCATGGAAATTGGCACATCTCAATTTGTACCAGGAACTCTAAGAAAATGTGAAATTCTTGTAAGAAAAAGAATAGGTTTGTGAGACAATGGAAGGTTGTTTACTGTTTACTGTTTTTTGACAAAATGAAGTGAATTCATTTGTTGATCATGTTCCGACAGCTGTAAGATATTGACTGTATGAAGGTCATTTTGTGAAAACTGTGAAGGTTTATTGAGTTGAAGGATGGTTGAGAAATTACGTCATGGTTAAACAATCATGAGATGAAACATCGAAACCATGAGTGATCTTTATCTGAGGGTAATTACGCTACATTCTGTTGGCATTAACCTTGATAGGAGATATAGGGTTGGAAGCATGGGACCTGTAGTCTAATGTTCTCACAACTCTTGGTAGGGGTGTGATCGGACTAATATGCTATGACAAATTCCTCAAATTAACACATGAGGGTTCTGTCACTAGAGTATTTTAGAATGGAATTCATTTAGACTCTTAGAACTCTGTGAAGTATTACAGATGACTAGTGGTGGTTAATACTGCTTACTCTCCTGCTTGTGACATGTTAGGCCGGAAAACAATGTTACTCTGGATTTTCAATAAATAGAGAGATGATGGTAGATTGAGGTACACTGTCAAGAAAGCTAAACAACTTCATCAAAAGATGTGAAAGTGAATTCAAAGAATTGCATAAAAGATGCAAGTACCTCTACAATGCAGCTTAGACGTTATAACCCCCTCACCCACCCACAAAAGGCATAAACACGTGATGAATATAACTAAAAATGAGTATTAGTCCATTCTACAGTAGTGCATAAGTTACCAGCGCTTATCAATTTTTACAACCAACTGTTTCTGGAAAACTCAATCATTGCCATTTTAGACTTTGTTGAACTCTGCATCAGGAGTACAGTTTTGTATCACATTGTCGCTGATAATAATTTACCTCTCGTGCAGGAGCATGAGGATAAGGAACCTGATGGCCGCCCCGTTGTTACGGCTGCAAAGCGTTTTGAGCCGTCGATATCTGCGGAGGAGATGCAGGACCAGCTCGATCATTTCACTCACATAATGCAAGAGAAATTTTTGGCAGGAGAAGACACCGAGCATGTAGATTATTCAAAGATCGATGATGATGAGAGGCTCGATGATCATTGGTTCAAGGAAGCTTGCCAGGATGCAGAGGAGAAATATTTCGATGAAGACTGAAAGTGCTTACCTAGTGTTGGTTCATGAAATATTGCTGCCTTTTCTTTTATCTAATCCTTGTTGTTAGTATCTGTACCTCAAAGTTTGACTTCACTTGCTGTACTGTATATGCTCTTGTCTGATATTGTACATATCAAGGAAGGTTAGAAGAAGGTTTTAGATGAGAATCGGCGTGCACAAATTTTGTCATTTGTAGTATCTGTAGATATCCCTTTGCTAGATATAGATTCGTTGAAGATCATAAAATTCAGTTTGCAACAATGAGAACAGGGAAACTTTAGGACGAGCGAGGGATTTATAAGGGATATACAAAAATTGGTAAATGGCGTAAACCTTTTAGATTGTTAGATTCGGACGTCAATTTACCTTTCCCTGATACAATTGCGAAGTAAACAATAGAAAAACGTAAATATGATCGCGATGCTCGTTTCCGCGACTCTATTTCCGTGCAACCGAACATAATGAAGCAATATTTTTATCTGATTTCACTCAATAAGAAGTTACCAATCAAGATTCGAAATTAATATTCTTAATAATAAATAAATGAAGTTTCAATTTTATATGACTTCAATTTAAACCAACAATTAAGCCAATAATAGTTTCGTAATAATTAATATTCTGACTTGAGGTCGTTAATAAGGAAAACAAGAGAGAAAATGCCTGTAGTAAGCAAATAGCGGATTTGGATTTTTCTCCCAGTGTGTCCTATATAATAATTATTATTATATTTAGAATCTATATTGACAGTTGTACCGATTTTATCGTCCCCAGTTTCATATATTAATTCTAGTTTTCTCATATTAAATGCAACTAAAAGTAAATAAAATTATCTATAAACTAGATAGTTTAGTTGTGTTCTGTAACAACACCGGATACAATGCAACTCCATCCTCCGCCACTGGTAACTAAGCCGCTAAAAATAAGTAGATGAAGTTTCAATGTCATATGACTTCACTTTAACTCAATTTTGAATATAAATATCATAAAGTTCCAATTAACTTTGGACGATTATCAGAAGACACCCCAGTTAACTTTAAAAATATTTAAAAACTCCCGTTAAGTTTAGGGGTTATCAGAAAACCTCTTTATCTTTAAGATTTTATTAGAAACTTTTCTAAATTTAGAGGAGTTTTCTAATAAAATCTCAAAGTTGAAGATATTTTTTAGTAAAATCAGAAAGTTTAAGGGGGTTTGGTGATAATCCCTATAATTAAGGTGAATATTATGATATTTTGAAAGGTGGATAAATTTTTAAAACCAACATGTTTGCTAAAAAATTCTCAAAAAAAGACCCGTTTTAAACTTAATTTTAAAAATCGACCCAGTTGCACTGAAACTGGATCGGTTTTTGAAAAAAAGTTCCCAAACTTCACGGGACTTGAAGTCCCGTGAAGTTTTGTTATATAAAAAACTTCACGAGACTTTAACTCTCTTGAAGTTTGAGAACTTTTTTTTTAAAACTGACCAAGTTTCAGCCAACTGGGTCGATTTTTAAAATTAAGTTTAAAACGGGTCTTTTTTTGGAAATAAAATTTAAAAAATGTTGGTTTTGAAAATTTGTCCTTTGAAAGGTGGGTTGGGGGGTTCTGGTAATCGTCCAAAGTTTGGGGGTTTTATGATATTTACACTAATTAGTCTTTTGTTTTTATAAGAAGAACGAGAGAGAAACTGCAAGGTCAAGATCGAGAGAGAGAGAGAGAGAGAGAGAATCAAAGGGGACCAGCAAAGAGACCCCAAACCTTGACTCGCTCAAGAAAAATATCGCGACTGCTGACTCGGAGCGAGGTCGACGCCGACGCCTACTTAAAATTACCAAACATACCCTTCTCCCCTCTTTCGTCTCCTTTCCCCCTTTTCTCCCATAAAAAAACGTTTGCAAAATTTTCCCAAAATTTAACCTCTTGATTTCCCTTCCTATTATTTTCTCAAAACCGTACCTAGACTAATCGATCCCTGGTGAATCTAGGGTTTCTGGATATGTTCAACAGAGATCGAGGTGTGAGCGGTTCGATTGACCGAAAGAGGATCAATGAAGCCCTAGATAAGCATCTCGAGAGATCTTCGCCGTCGACGTCGAGAGGCGTTAACGGTAAGGAGAAGGATCGGCCGTCGACGTCGTCGGCGAAGCAGCCGGATCATCGATCTACTTCTCTCTCTAAAAACGATGGTATGGCAATGGTTTCTTGATTTTTAAATTTTTTTGGGTATTTGATTAATCAATTGTAAGATTTGGTTGTTTGATACATTTTAAATATGGAGCACTTGGGACCCTAGACATTGATTAAGACTGGATTTTGGTAGCTTCAGTTTGTTGTTTGGTTTGATTGAATTGTTAATCTATTTTTTCAGAAGCAATTTGGTGTTCGTAGTAATAGTTCAGGAGTAGATGCTTAAGTAGAATGAGATTATAGCTCAATATTACTTGTAGGGTGCATGTATTATTGAAGATAGAGATAAAAGGAAGAAAAAAGAGTTTTTTTACGAAGAGACTGATCTATATGAGTTGTTTAAAGTTATAAACCTGCTTTCATTGTCATAAAATTAATTATAGCTTAACATGGTTCAGATAGAAACCGTGTCAAACTTAAATGTCTAGGATTCTGAATTTAAGAAAAAGCATGTGTGATATAACAAAGTAAAGGCTTTCCTTAACCAACAATTAAGCCAATAATAGTTTCGTAATAATTAATATTCTGACTTGAGGTCGTTAATAAGGAAAACAAGAGAGAAAATGCCTGTAGTAAGCAAATAGCGGATTTGGATTTTTCTCCCAGTGTGTCCTATATAATAATTATTATTATATTTAGAATCTATATTGACAGTTGTACCGATTTTATCGTCCCCAGTTTCATATATTAATTCTAGTTTTCTCATATTAAATGCAACTAAAAGTAAATAAAATTATCTATAAACTAGATAGTTTAGTTGTGTTCTGTAACAACACCGGATACAATGCAACTCCATCCTCCGCCACTGGTAACTAAGCCGCTAAAAATAAGTAGATGAAGTTTCAATGTCATATGACTTCACTTTAACTCAATTTTGAATATAAATATCATAAAGTTCCAATTAACTTTGGACGATTATCAGAAGACACCCCAGTTAACTTTAAAAATATTTAAAAACTCCCGTTAAGTTTAGGGGTTATCAGAAAACCTCTTTATCTTTAAGATTTTATTAGAAACTTTTCTAAATTTAGAGGAGTTTTCTAATAAAATCTCAAAGTTGAAGATATTTTTTAGTAAAATCAGAAAGTTTAAGGGGGTTTGGTGATAATCCCTATAATTAAGGTGAATATTATGATATTTTGAAAGGTGGATAAATTTTTAAAACCAACATGTTTGCTAAAAAATTCTCAAAAAAAGACCCGTTTTAAACTTAATTTTAAAAATCGACCCAGTTGCACTGAAACTGGATCGGTTTTTGAAAAAAAGTTCCCAAACTTCACGGGACTTGAAGTCCCGTGAAGTTTTGTTATATAAAAAACTTCACGAGACTTTAACTCTCTTGAAGTTTGAGAACTTTTTTTTTAAAACTGACCAAGTTTCAGCCAACTGGGTCGATTTTTAAAATTAAGTTTAAAACGGGTCTTTTTTTGGAAATAAAATTTAAAAAATGTTGGTTTTGAAAATTTGTCCTTTGAAAGGTGGGTTGGGGGGTTCTGGTAATCGTCCAAAGTTTGGGGGTTTTATGATATTTACACTAATTAGTCTTTTGTTTTTATAAGAAGAACGAGAGAGAAACTGCAAGGTCAAGATCGAGAGAGAGAGAGAGAGAGAGAGAATCAAAGGGGACCAGCAAAGAGACCCCAAACCTTGACTCGCTCAAGAAAAATATCGCGACTGCTGACTCGGAGCGAGGTCGACGCCGACGCCTACTTAAAATTACCAAACATACCCTTCTCCCCTCTTTCGTCTCCTTTCCCCCTTTTCTCCCATAAAAAAACGTTTGCAAAATTTTCCCAAAATTTAACCTCTTGATTTCCCTTCCTATTATTTTCTCAAAACCGTACCTAGACTAATCGATCCCTGGTGAATCTAGGGTTTCTGGATATGTTCAACAGAGATCGAGGTGTGAGCGGTTCGATTGACCGAAAGAGGATCAATGAAGCCCTAGATAAGCATCTCGAGAGATCTTCGCCGTCGACGTCGAGAGGCGTTAACGGTAAGGAGAAGGATCGGCCGTCGACGTCGTCGGCGAAGCAGCCGGATCATCGATCTACTTCTCTCTCTAAAAACGATGGTATGGCAATGGTTTCTTGATTTTTAAATTTTTTTGGGTATTTGATTAATCAATTGTAAGATTTGGTTGTTTGATACATTTTAAATATGGAGCACTTGGGACCCTAGACATTGATTAAGACTGGATTTTGGTAGCTTCAGTTTGTTGTTTGGTTTGATTGAATTGTTAATCTATTTTTTCAGAAGCAATTTGGTGTTCGTAGTAATAGTTCAGGAGTAGATGCTTAAGTAGAATGAGATTATAGCTCAATATTACTTGTAGGGTGCATGTATTATTGAAGATAGAGATAAAAGGAAGAAAAAAGAGTTTTTTTACGAAGAGACTGATCTATATGAGTTGTTTAAAGTTATAAACCTGCTTTCATTGTCATAAAATTAATTATAGCTTAACATGGTTCAGATAGAAACCGTGTCAAACTTAAATGTCTAGGATTCTGAATTTAAGAAAAAGCATGTGTGATATAACAAAGTAAAGGCTTTCCTTCAAGATTGTAAATTTGTAACATGAAAATAGAGCTTGTCGAAGCTCTTTATTTAAATGGGTTTTCTGCTAAATTTAATTTTTTTGAAGAAGGGATTCCAATTTAACTGAAATGGTCAGAGTGGTTACAACTTCTTAATTTTCAATAGTTTTAGGTTCATCATATGAAAGTAATTTTTTCCTAGTTTATATTTTGTTTCAGCTGGATTTTACTTTTATCTTTAACCACTTCATGTATATTATGACTATTATGACAAGTTGAACTAATGCTGGTTTCCAATTAATTTGAGATTTGTGTTGATTTTCCAACTAATTTGGACCACTTGGTTGTTCCCGTCGTTAATATTGTGGTGTTATCTTTTTGTCGATCTCTATGAATCAGATGCACTCTTGTGGAGAATCCATTGGTGAGGCTATACAGGTTGTCCTTGGTTGTACCTTGTCAGAAAATTAATGTATTACCACCGGTTGGAGTAACAAATACATTGTTTGTGTAGCTTGTTTCCAACTACACCAAATAATTATTTAAAAGTGTTAATTAGTTCTTTTTTATATATTCTACATTATAGGTACTTACAAAAATCATCTTACTGGACCTACCAAAACTACTAGTATTATTATTTTAGCTTAATTCTTAAGATGTACTTGGCACAACTCTAACCATTCCTTTTGACCAAGAAGGTTTCCAACTGTACTCAAACCTCAAAAATAATCATCAAATTGATGTTTGCATTGCCCTGTAATTGGAGTGCATGAATCTCTAACTACAAGCAGGCAAAACTCCCTATATTTTGTTATCTCTATGTTAGGTACAGGTATTGGTACTAGTATCGGTATGGGTACGGGTACTTGTAGGGGACACGGAAAATTTGTAAAAGGTAGGATATGGGAACATGGCTGTATAAATATTTTGTACACACATATTATGTATTGAAATCAATAGCATAATATCAATGTTTTTTTATTCATGTGTTATGAGAATTAAAACTCCTACAATATTTTTATGTTTCTTTTATTGTGGATTATAAATTGTAAAAACTCTCTTTTTTCACTAGACACCCAAACAACCATTAAAATCATAATTTAAAGCCCAATGAGTTTCAAGAATTGGATGTGAAGCGTAGGATTTATGTCCAGGAAATGATTGCAAGTGTTCTATATTAAAACATGTATTGTTTAATTGAGTACATGCCCGACTAAATGTATGACTAAATGCAAGGAGTGTCCAAGGAGTTTGGGTACAGATACGGGTACAAATACGTGTCGGATACGGGTATGGCTTAAAGGTAGAAGTACCTAGGTAACATTAACACTTTCTAAGTTTTGTACTTTTCTGGATTCATTTGTTTTTTTGGTCTTTGTAGTTGGGCTGGAACTTTTAGCAATCTGACATGCAGGTTCTGAGAGGAGGTTATATTTGGATATAAACATTTTATATTTACAAGATATGAATGATAATCCTTCTCATTTATGTTTTGTTTTTAAAAACTTGAATAATCTTAATCTGAAAAGTGTTTTAGAATTTAATATATAAACTACTATGATCAGCACCAGCTATTTTATTTCTGTATGAAACCTTCCGGAAATGTTGAGGTATCCTCGTTAGTGTTCATTATCGCCTTATAGGAGATATTCAATTTGAAGGTTGTGGTTGTTTATTGTTCCCTTTTCTTTAAGCATACTTTTTAGTTCATGATCTTTGTTGCTATTTTGATATTTTTTGATGTCTCCTTGGTTTTTGTACAAAAAATATTGTTTATCTTGGTCAAACTTTTGAACTATTACTTACTTACTTATATATATGCTTAGCTCTTTTCCTGGGGTGAGAAGCTTTAGCATTTTCATTATCATTCATGATTTTTTAAATATTTCTCCTTGTTTTTCTACCCATCTACTGATATGCTCTTCCATTTTTACAGCGGAAGAATCTGATACAGATAGTGAGGAATCTGATGTTAGTGGTTCTGACGGCGAGGACACATCCTGGATTTCATGGTTCTGTAACCTAAGAGGAAATGAGTTCTTTTGTGAGGTAGATGATGATTACATACAAGATGATTTCAACCTTTGTGGCTTAAGCAGCCAAGTTCCATACTATGATTATGCTCTTGATCTGATTTTGGATGTTGAATCATCTCATGGTAAGCTATGCACTTGGACATTCTAGTGCTTCAAGAAATTCGTGAATGCTGACTTTACATACTATGTCTGTAACTGCTATACATATGATATTTATCCAGATATGAGATGACGTGTGTGTAATAAAAAAAATGTCTTCTGATACACCCTATGAATAACAACCGACGCATGTGTTTGTGACTTGGATACATACCCTGAAGACAATGCTGCAATGCGTATATAATGATGTCTTCATGTCTAGATTTTTATTATCCCCTGTTTGGCACCCCATATCTGTGTCATAATACGACGTGAAGTAAGAAGCTAAACTCCCTAGCCGTTACCGAAATAGCTTTCTTCCACCAGTGTCCCTATATTCTAATTGTAGGCAATAACTAGATCATATTCTGTTGTTTGCGTAAGTATCGAAAGTTGTGTGACACTTTATTATCTTCTGATCCCTGATTCATGTATCCTGTTGGACCCTCCTTATCTTTGGTGCTGAGGATCAGACCCGACTTATATTAAATCACCCAACTTCACTAGGGTATTACTCTCTCAGCTCTAAGGTCATAAGCTTGCAAAGATGGTCTCAGTATAGACATTCAAGCGTTCATGTTGGGTTGAACCATTTCTTGGTTCATAATTAAAAGACTAGAATTCTTACTCCCTTGTTCATGAACCTTGCAATTTTGAAACTTAACTGGTGAAATGCTTGAGAGCTTGTCCATTCCTGCATGTACGCTTGAATCATCCCCAATTTCTTAATAATTCCCTGTTCCTGATTCCGTAGTTCCTAGTTACAGCCCAAGCCTCCAATTTAAATGTAATAGATTCAATGGTTCCAATTTATATGTAATAGAATCAATGGTTGATTCTGGAAATATTTGTTACAACATGGTTAAAAAGCTTGCTTGTAAGTGATAAATATGTGGATGGATCTACGGCTTAGACTGTGTCTGACTGACTAACATAAGGTATGACAGTCGCTCAGTTTTATTCTGTTGTTGATTCTGGAAATACTTGTTACAACATGGTTAAAAAGCTTGCATGTTAAATGATAACTACATGGATGGATCATGGATCTACAGCTTAGACCTTGTCTTGACTGACTAAGTTTAGGTATGAAAGTCCCTGAATTCTTCCGTCAATATGTTTGGCTCTAAAGACACAAAGGAGACTTTTGCCAATTTATTCCCTGAGGTATCAGTGTACTCTTCTAGTATTATTTTATATTGGGTAAATTGTGGATAGAGCCCCAGTACTATTGCCAAATTGAGCTTGCTACTCCTGTAGTTCTTTGTCGTAAATAGACCCATGTGTGAATTTTTTTGGGGAATAATGCGGTTTGTTTGGACTATCAGCACATGCCAACATCACACTTTTCTCTCGATTTTCGGGTTGAGGTTTGATGGTTANTACAGCGAGAAGCTGAAGGGGGGAAACACAAGAAAATTGTGGTCAAAGGGGTTTTACACACAAGACTTCTGTCAGGGGAGGAGACGAACAAAAAGCTTGTCAGAGGGGGCTGGATGCAGATTTTCCGAGTTTTTATATCCTTTCCTGCGTGTCTATCTGCAACTATAGAACTTTTTCAGGGGGTCTATCTGCAGCAACAGAACTACATGGGTAGTAAGTTCAATTTGGCGATAGCACAGGGTGTTTATCCACAATTAACCCTTTCATATTTTTATAAGTCTTCCTGTTACTTTCGTTACATGGAAAGCACTCCCTTTCGTAACCCTCCTTTTTGTGAGCAATATATGATCCTATCTTTCAAGATTGAATCATCATTAAGAAAGACTAGAAACTCTATTGACATTTATCCATTCATCTTAACAGTCTGCTTATAGAAAGACTTTAAGGTTGCTATATAGATGACTTGGTTATTTCATATTCCAAGCTTCCTACTCTCTTTCTAACCTTTATGGAATTTGCGGTATCTGGTACTAAACCATATTGCATCTTGGCAATGAGATATAGGATAAATTAAGACAGTAAGTTGTAAGTAGGTCATTATCTTTTCTGAGAAATACTTAACACACTTTTAGTATTCATATTTCATATTTGTTTCCAAGCAACTTGCTAAAAGTAATTTACTTCACTAAGCTTCTTCAAAGTAATTCACAGCCTCTTAACATATTTTCCGCCGAATAATTAACATGTATTTCACTTGATCTTTAGATACAGCTACAGTTTCACCATCTGCTTGTCCAGACTTCTGTTGATGGAGAAATTACTGAATTCATTGATAGTTTCCTCTGAAATTTAGACTATGGCTTTCATGCTTTATTTCTGTTATAATTTGAATTATGACATGTTGGCATTTATTGAGATTATCTAGGTCATACAATTGCGCAGGTGATATGTTTACTGAGGAACAAAATGAGTTGGTTGAATCTGCAGCAGAGATGTTGTATGGTCTGATTCACGTCAGATACATTTTAACTAGTAAAGGGATGGCTGCGATGGTAAAGCTTTTGACTTAACTCATTATCTCTTCAAGTATTTACTGTTTGATCTGAAAAAGAATAACAAAGTTAAAAATGCCGATCTTTGCAGCTAGACAAGTTCAAGAACTATGACTTTGGAAGATGCCCAAGAGTTTATTGCTGTGGCCAGCCCTGTCTTCCCGTAGGACAATCTGACATTCCTCGGTCTAGTACTGTGAAAATCTATTGTCCCAAGTGTGAAGATATATATTACCCGAGGTCCAAGTACCAAGGCAGTATCCTTTTCATTCAAATAACTTTTCTTGAATCAATTATGTTAAGCAATTCAGTATGTGCACTACGTTTTACTGCCGACATTTAATATTATAGTAGAATTACTCAAGTATCTTGAAGTAGCTAGCGAGAGCAAGGGTAGAGGTTACTTTTCATGCATGTTGTCCAGTTAGGATAACCATTTCTTATCCAAAGGTAGAATAAATAAACCATTCTCATGATTGATTGATTTATAGCACTTTAAAAATGCAGAACAGATATACTTAAAAGATTTCATTCTTTTTTCAGATGGGAAATATGTTATTGCTGAGGCACCTTGGATTCAATCTAAGGAAGCGCTTTTTAATGCATGGATTAAACTATTGCAAGGGATGATCTGATTTATTTGTCAAGATCTAAATGTCTCAGAATATCTATAAAACAAAAATCATGATGTTTCAAACTTCTAACAAATATTTTTCATCCTCTTTAGTTGTATTGTCGTAAAACTGTTGATTTTCAATTATTTGATGCATGAGTAGCTATAACCCTTGTTTGTATACCATCCAAAACATGGAGATCGAAATGAACAGAGCGGAGCAAGTAAATTGATTTCATATAACGTAGTTTTGAAGGTGCATCCCTAGATTGAATCTAAGGTGTCTCCGTGGTAACTTATTTCCCTTATTACATTCTCTTTTTATCATATTATTAGCATGAATATCTTTTTATAATGCATAGGTTTCAAGTTAAATGCCATGTGCTTTTTTTTTCCATGTCGGTTTAAAGTTAAATGCCATATGCATCTTTTTCTTGGTTGTTGATGCATACTTCTTGTTGTTTGATTTGGAGCAGTGCCTTCATAGGCACTTGTCATTCTTGGATGAAGTTGCTTCCCTTCTACGAGCAATATCTATATTGGAGATCTGGGAAAGTTGCAAACGTCAGCATGGTTTGGGATGACACGTCATGCAGTATTAGCTGCTAGACATCTTCCTCTAATTGGATAGTTGCACAGTGTCTGCACGCATGCATTTGTGTTATTAATGTACTAGTTTACTCATCCTAGGACCCTTTTAGTGAGATTTTTCTTGACATCCGATAGATCTTGATGGGGCATACTTCGGCACAACATTTCCACACCTCTTTCTAATGACGTATCCGCACCTCAAACCTCAGAAGCCATCACAGCGGTATGTCCCAAGAGTATTTGGTTTCAAGATTCACAAGCCATGATCCAGAGGTGAGCTTTCAAAGATCAAAAGTGCATACTCCAAAATTTACGTTCAAATTTTTCTGCAAGAAAATGCTGGGACAGGACTAACGAGCTGGAGGAGGCACAACGTCTGTCCATCAGGCTTGCGAATGAGAGGAACTCAAATTGAATCATTCTTGCCAAGCCAACGTTTTATTTTATTGTAGTTGTAACTAATGAGCTTTAATTGGGTTTCTAACGGCTGAGAATTTTCTGATACATGGTGCAATTTATTTGGTTAATTTGCCTATTCAATGACTTTTTAAGATATGATATGCTCTCGAATACTTGCATGGAAACTGGTAATTATACCATATGCTTCGAGGAGATTCATTCTCCGCTGTTTCTACTGCTGTGTTCGTTTGGTGGTTCTGAACCAATATAAATATTATGCTTCAATTTAAATTATCTACGCGGCGTGAAGGTTCTCCCACTATCAACAATGTCCCTAGGACTTGGCTTCACCCTTCCTCCTGTGATTCTTTTGTTATTTGGCGTTGGTTTATTAATTTGAAGGGAAAGGAGTGACAACGCATGGTTGCTCTTTAACATGAATGAAAGTCTTTTGTTGTCTTCCAGCGTAATGGAGATTTCTTTTGCTGTCTGTGAGTGTGCTTCATTTTTTTTATTTTTTTTAATTTCTTCTTGATTCTCCATGCGTTTATTATTATTTTGCCCGATGTATAACACAAGAATTTTTTAATAATTTTTATTCGCTACAATCAGGTAGCAATTATGTTTTTCCCTCAAAATTTACAATTTTCATGAGTTATACTCTATAATTTTGTCAATTTTTATCAGTTTTTATCCAATGACAATTAATTATTAGTGAACTTCAAAACTTGTAGTTTTTATAGGCTATAACTTATTATTTTTATAAATTGAGGCAAAGTCAATTAAGTTTACTTTCTCTAAAATTCATGATTTTCATGAGTTATAACCCATAGTTTTTTATCCATTTCATTTGTTTTGACCCAATGACAATTAATTGATGAAATTAGAATCTACAACTTTTATGGGATATAACTCCCGATGTTGTCCATAATTCATGATATTTTTCCACTTATTGTTATTTTGGCCCATTGATAATGAAGTTTTCTTTTCTCAAAATTCATTATTTTCGTAAATTATAATACATAATTTCGTCCATTTTCATTGTCTTCCAAAGATACAAATACTCTGTGCACTTCAAAATTGTCATATTTTATTGACTATGATACATAATTTTTGTCCATTTTATCTGTTACGCCAATGATAAAATAATCAGGGTATATTAAAATTTTAATTTTCATGAGTTATAAACTATAACTTTTGGTCATTTTCGTTTATTTTAAGCCAATGATAATTACATTTATGTCTTCAAAGTTTACTTTTTTTCATAGGCTATAACACATTTTTTGTCCATTTTCATCTGTTCTAGCCGAGGGAGCTATAACTCACAAATTTTATTAATTTTTTTCGTTTCGAACGAATGCAAATTTATTATGTGCACGTCAAAAATCATAATTTTTATGAATTATAACCCATGATTTTTGTCAATATTTTTTAATTTTGAACTAATACAAATTTATTATGTGTATATCAAAATTTATGATTTTCATGATCTATATAACCATGGTTTTTATCAATTTTTATTCGCTCCGAACAAATGCAAATTTTTATTCACTCCGAACAAATGCAAATTTATTATGCGCACATCAAAATTCACGACTTTATGAGATATAACCTACGACTTGTTAAAAGTTTTGTTTGTTTGGATGACTGGGAATCTATTACGTGTATATTAAAATTTATGATTTTCATGAGCTATAACTCACTTTTTTCAATTTTTGTTTGATTTGAATGAACATAATTTTTTTTGTGTAAATCAAAATTTATGATTTTTATGAGCTATAATCTATTGTTTTTGATAAATTTTGTTCATTTTAAAAGAATAAAATTTTTGTTTGTGTACATCAAATTTTATGATTTTCATGACTTATAACGTATGTAGCAGGTCAATTTTTATTCATTTTGAGCGAATTCAAATTTATTATGTGAACATCAAAATTCACGATTTTCATGGGCTATACCTAAGATGTCTTTTTTTCTAGTTTTGGTTTGTTTTGTAAATGGACAAATTTTTTAAAAAACCCTTTTTTCAATTTTATATAGCAAAACCGACCGCTCCTCAAAATAATCTGCAAAACCGACCCTAAAGGGTAGTCCCGTGCATTTGATGCTTTTACACGACCACTCCTGACCCCATGTCCCCAAATTCCCACGCGCACTCGTGATCTCACCTAATTCGCTACCCTCCCTCTTCCCTCATGGACCCCACACCCACTACCTCTCCCTCTTCCTCATCGCACTCGTGACCTCCCCCTCCTCTCCCTCCTCCCCTTCCTCCGCCTCCGCCGCTTCTCCTTCGTATCCCTCAAAGACCTCCACCTCTCCCTCTCCCTCCTCCTCTCTGACCTCATCGCCATCTCCCTCGCCCTCCCAAATATATCTATCAACGATGCCAGCTTCAACAGTCAGCAGATCGACCCCGAGACGCTGAAGACCCAACTCGACCGACTCTACGTCGAGGCCGAGACGACTCGCTCCAAAGTTTTTTTTACCCCCCGTCATTCGAGTTTCTTCGATTCCTAATGAATTAATTGGAAACTTTGATTGAAATGGCGAATTAGGTCAGGCTTGAAATTATCATGGGTTTGAGAAATGAGCGTAGATTTGGATGATAATGATGTGGGCTTTGTTGTTATATAGTGTTGTGTCAGCATGTCCGTCACATGTTTGATGATTTGTCTCAATGAACCGTTGTTATTGTTGTTTGGTTGTTCCAGCAGCTAACGCTAGAGTGAGGCTGATGCGGTTGTCTGAGGCAGCTGAGAATCTACAGAAGAGGGCGGCTAACAGCGTCTTGGTTGGTAAGGAAACTGAGGCTAGGGAGTTTCTAGTAGAAAAGAAGAAGTTTATGCAAGCCTTGGAGAAATCAAAGAACTGCATCGATGTACTTGATAAGCTCGCGATCAAGATTAATGAGGTCACGCTCTTCGGCCTATGTCTCTAATCCTAGCAGTTTTTGTTATTTTCTTTGCTAGTATTTGCTCTGGCTAGCTAAATACTTCCATAAGATTTATGTTTATTGATGGGTAGTGGATGTTGGGTCCATGAGGGAAGAGGGAGGGTGGCGAATTAGGAGATGGCGTGTAAAAGCATCAAATGCACGGGACTAGCAGTCCCGTGCATTTGATTTGCTCTACACGCCTACAAAACCGACCCTTTAGGGTCGGTTTTGCAGATTATTTTGAGGGTTGGTCTGTTTTGCTATATAAAAGTGAAAAAATGCTCTTTTAAAAATTTGTCCTTTGTAAATTTATTATCTTTACATCAATATTTGCGATTTTTATGATTTATAACTAACAATTTTTTTAAATTTTTTTGGTTTATTTTGAACAATCATAAATTTATTGTGTGCACACAAAATTTTGGATCTGTATGAGCTATATGAGCCATGACTTTTGTCAATTTTTATTTACTTTGAAGGAGTGCAAATTTATTATGTACACATAGAAAAAAATCAGGGTTTTAAAAAGCTATAATCCAATAATCCATGATATTTGATAACTTTTGGTTTACTTTGAATGAATGTAAATTTATTATGTGTATATCAAAATTCATGATTTTTATAAATTATAGCCATAGTTTTTGGCAATTTTCTTCACTTTGAACAAATAAAAATTTCATAGCTGCACATAAAAATTAGCGATTTTTATAAGCTATATAACCCAACATTTTTGCCAAATTTTGCTTGTTTCAAGAGAATATAAATTTATTATATGTTCATAAAAATTCATGATTTTTATGAGTTATATCTCATGATTTTTTTTTGTTTTGAGCGAGTTCAAATTTATTATTTGCACATCAAAGTTCACGATTTTTAAGAGCTATATAGAACCCATGGTTATTGATATTTTTGTTCATTTGGAATGAATAGAAATTTCCTATTTGTATATATCAAAATTCACGATTTGCAAGAGCTATAACCCTCGATTTTCAATAATTTTATTCATTTCAAATAAATATAAATTTCATGTGTGTACATTAGAATTCATGATTTTCATGAGCTATAACCTATGGATTTTGACAAAATTTTTATTTTGAGTCATGACAAATTTCATATGTGAACATCAAATTTTAGGGATTTTTATAAGTTATAGCTCATTATTTTTTTCAATTTTTATTCATTTCGAAGGAATGCAAATATATTATGTGTAGGTCAAATATTATAATTTTCATCCCATGTTTTTTGATAATTTTGGTTCATTTAAAACAAATGCAAGTTTTTATATGTACATAGAAATTTATGATTTTCATGAGAGATATACCCACAGTTTTTATCAAATTTTATTCGTTTTAAGTGATTGCAAATTTATTATGTGAACATCAAAACTCACGATTTTTATGAGCTAAAACCCATGATAATTTGTCAATTTTGTTTTGTCTTAAATGAATGTAAATTAAATATCTTTACATAAAATTTTATAATTTTCATGAGCTATATAACAAATGATTGTTTATCAATCTTTGTTCATTTTGAATGATTAGAAATTTATTACATGTACATAAAAATTTTGGACTTTCATAAGCTATATATTGTACAACTTTTTTATCAAATTTCATTTGTTTTTAATAAATAAAAATTATTATGTATATATAAAAACTCACAATTTTGATAATTTTGCTCATTTGAGCGAATGCAATTTTTTTTATCTCTACATCAAAATTCACTATATTCATGATCTGTAACCCATAATTTTTGATATGTTTTTAATTTTGAATGAATACAAATTTTATATATGTACATAAAAATTTGTGATTTTTATAAGTTATTACTATGATTTTTGTTAAGTTTTGTCTGTTTCAAGCGAATGCAAATTTATTATGTATGCATTAAAATTTATGATTTTAATGAGGTATAACCCATGATTTTTATTATTTTTATTCACTTCTAATAAATAAAAATTTATTGTGTGTATATCAATGTTTTTTATTTTCATAAATTATAATTCATGTTCTTTATTAATTTTTGGTGTGACATCAAAATTTATAATTTTCATGAGATATACTAATTTTTGTCAAATTTTGTTCGTTTAAAATAAATACAAATTTATTATTTGTATATCAAATTTTACAATTTTCATGAGCTATAACCTACCATTTAAAAAAATCATCTCAAATGGCTGCAAATTAATTATATGCATATTAAAATTTATGTTTTTCATGAGCTATAATATACGATTTTTGTTAATTT